ACACACACACACACACGCTACACACACACAGATACACACACACACGCGCGCGCGCGCGATGTGCACAATCCGACCGCCAACATCCACGTGGTGCACATTGGGTAACGCTAATGCCGGCGGTAAACATCATTTTTCAAGAAAATGCATGGTTCGCTTCAAAGTCATGTAACTCGGTCAAGAAAAATCGTAGGAAAATTTTAAAAAAAGCATTTCGTAGGTAAAATGTTGTAGATTGTGGAACTTGTATCAAATTTGTCGAGAGAAATTTTTTTATCGAGCTACAGTGTGTCAAATATACGTAATTTTAAGGAACAAAACAATGTATTTTTTTTAAAGCACAGAACGAAGAAGATGAATATATCGAAATATATCATTGACAGAGTTTTAAAGTTGAAACTTCAAGCTTTAAAATGCTTTTTTAATTTTGTGTCTACGATTATTTTTCGCCGAGTTTTAGTGGTTTGAAAATAGCCCAATTTTTAGGGTATGAAAAGTGTTCCCTATTTTTTTTTAGTAGTGTACATGGCGGCCATTTTTGCAAATGGCAACCGATTTTTATGTTCCAGTGAATGTCGTAGGTGACATGGAGACGAATACAACGGTTTTTTATTTTTTGAAATTGGGTCATTTTTCACTGAGTTACAGTGTTCCAAAGTTTATAATTTAACCAAATTTAGAATTGTTGTATCGCCAGTAATTAAAACAAAATACTCAAGGATTAGATCGACCAAGGCTGGCAGTTTTATCTTATTTTAAATTTTACCACGACGTTTCGGCCAGTAATACTGGTCCTTTTCAAGTGGATCCTATAGCTTGTGACAACGAAGCATCTACAAATCAATTACTTAGTCAAAATATATAACGGTAATAACTTGTAAAACTATAAATTATAAAAATATAACTAACTTCATATTTATTTTTATTTATTTGTTTCTCCGGTCCCCTTCTATATGTCATGACGGGAGGATCTTAGCAATGTCCCTTTGTTCTGTTCCAACTATTTAGTCTCTTGGTGACATGACACGTGCGAAGGCGTATATTTCTATGTGCGATGACGATTAGCCTAATTTTATATTTTCCTGTAAGTTCTTCTTTTATAATTTATTATTTTATATTATGACTGAGAAAACTCGTAGTTCTTTTTATAATTTATTACCGCTTTATATTTTTATAATTTATAGTTTTACAAGTTATTACCGTTATATATTTTGACTAAGTAATTGATTTGTAGATGCTTCGTTGTCACAAGCTATAGGATCCACTTGAAAAGGACCAGTATTACTGGCCGAAACGTCGTGGTAAAATTTAAAATAAAATAAAACTGCCAGCCTTGGTCGATCTAATCCTTGAGTATTTTATAATTTAAGTAAAAGGCTTCGACCCCCATACAGTGTGCGTATTTTGTGACTTCAAACTGTCCTCTCTCTCCCCCCCTCTCTCTCGCTCTTTCTCTACCTCTCTCCTCTCTCCCCCCCCTCTCTCTCTCTCTCTCTCTGTGCGTGCGCGCGCGTGTGTATGTGTGTTGTTTCTATCCGTTATCTGACTCTGTTTGATGGTCAACCAGCTTCATACCGCTTGACATGCATTTTCCCGTGCTTAGCGTTAAGCTGAAATTTCATGCAAGCGAAGAAAAGCTGGCGTTTACCCCTACTCCATCACAACACAAGGCAGCGTTGAAAAGCTGACGCTACCGCCTCTTCCCTTTTCATGGAGCGAAGAAAAGCTGGCGTTTTACCCCCACTCCACGCAATGTAAAGTAGCATTGAAAAGCTAACGCTACTTAACCTAACAAGTTAACTCCGTATAATAAAATGGATTATTCCAATTTGTTCGAGTTAGTGTCGCTTCATCCGCCTGGACAAAGCCCTATCCGAATTCAAGTTAATCGGAACGCCTCTAACGTTCGATACGCGCATAAGTCTCATAAATATTAAAGCCGCGAGCCCGTAGATAAGGAAGTAGGACGCAGTCTGAGAAAGGATCACATAATCATGACACAATATTCCCGCGATATACACCCACTTGCTGAGGCATAAAAACCCTTCGAGTTAAGGGAAAAGCCCGAGCAAGCGTACCGTTTATTAACTTGACGCCTGACCGCAATATCAGCGGCGCAGGCAAACACCCATCACGTACATGTCCATTCACATCCTATTCACTGTCGTCGTTACATTAAGTACCAGCTCAACGCACGTTAGTTGTCTCTCGACGCAACGGAAATGGCTACAGAAGCCCGAAATGGCGGTGCGCCGTTGCTGGCTAACACCTCCCCTCCCGTACAGGTACGAACACGCAACGCATCGCGCGAACTGTTGCCACGCGGGCCACCGCCGCCACGCGCGACCGCAATGGCCGCGATGGCCGCGATGGCCCGAGATGACGCCCGCAACCCGCTGCAGTCCCGCGGCCTACGAGACCCGCAGCTCGCGGCCAGCCGGGGCCCGCAACCCGCTGCAGTCCCGCGGCCTACGAGACCCGCAGCTCGCGGCCAGCCGGGGCCCGCAACCCGCTGCAGTCCCGCGGCCTACGAGACCCGCAGCTCGCGACCAGACGAGGCGCGCAACCCGCTGCAATCCCGCGGCGTGCGAGATCCGCGGCTCGCGGCCAGGCCCGACGACCACGGCCTTCCCTCTATTACCTTGTCACCCCGGTGATCCCGATCCAGAGCCTCGCAATTACGCCTCCCGGCGCGCAGGGCGAGCCCGCACCCTCAGTGGATCCGAAGGGCGCTCAGTTTCCCCCGCTGGCAGGATCCGCTCGATCCTCCCGGGTCGACGCCCGGCGCAGGCGAAGTCGCCTGGGCCAGGTCCCCGTTCCACCGTCCTTCGTGACCGTAGTCCGATGATCGTGGGGTCCTCGACGGGTTCTCGCCGGTTCCCAGACCGCCCACGACTCGTAACGGCAGATTCGCTTGGGTAGAGTCCAATGTCCGCTTCCTTGCCACCGTTCCTCTCGGTTCCCATCGGCTCCTTACTGCTCACTGGTCCTCTTCACGGTCGCACTGCACACTACACTGTCGCTGACCGGAAGGCAGAAACGGCGACTCGCACGCCGCGCACGCGCAGCCGGCGCCGCCGAGCACCTACACCTTGCCCGCGGCAACGCCGCTCCGCCGGTAACCCGGCTACTACAAATCGTGGTTCATTCGCCGCGAACACAATTATTATAGACAGTACATCGAATACGTGGAGTATTATAGACGTACAGTGGCAGCTACAGTTGCAGCAGAGGTCATAAAGAGGCGACGCATAGCTGCTGCAGCTTTTATGATGCATTTATCGAAAAAGAAAAAAATATATGAGAAGAAAAAATATTGGGTAGCACCCATTTTCGAAAATCGTAACGAGCACAGTTTTTTCTTTGCGTCGGTCCCGAGATTAAGATTGGAGGATTTACGATTTCATAATTATTTTCGAATGAGTGCAACTCAGTTTGAAGAATTGTTGGGCATGATTGGACCAACAATACAGAAGCAGGACGTCGTTCGACAATGCATCTCACCATCTGAACGGTTGGCATTAACATTGAGGTTTGTTTTTCTTGATTCAAATTTAATTTTGTTGAATTTAGCGTTTTATAAGTAACAACCCAGCCAGAACATTGATGTCGATTTAATGTCGGAGACGTCTAATAGATGTCTAACAGACGTCTGTTGGACGTCGAATCGACATGATGTTCTGCCTGGGAATGTTATATATTTTTGCTTAATACATAAATATTGTTATATCATATATAAAATGTGACGAACCGCCCCCTCTCGTCACTAGTCCGGGCCGATCCTCGTCACCATCCGCCTCGTGGCGCTTGCGCCACACGCATACTTCCGTGCGCACCCCAGGGCACCGACCGAGCGAGGAAGGGGACTAGCCCCTTCCACCGCGCCTCCCCGCCAGCCACGGTCCCGCGGGTATAAAGCGAGCGGCCGGAGCAACCGAGGCATCCAGTCCTGTCTCGGCTCCGATCCCGACACGACCGCTCCCGCTACCGATTCACCAGTTGGGCGCTCCCAACCTCCTTCGCACAACGGACGGGTACTCCCGTCCGCATCCGGGTACTCCCGGAGTGCGAGTCTCCGCCGTCGGGTACCCCCGGCGGTCTTTGGCTTTAACCCGGCCGGGCTCTCCCGGCACCCCGTCGCACTGGGCACGGGCTCTCCCGTCTCCAGCTGGGTACTCCCAGCGTGCGAGCTAACCCCGATCGGGCACTCCCGATCGGCCTGACCTGACACCGTAGATGTAAGACCGTAGACGTAAGACCATAGACGTAAGACCGTAGACGTAAGACCATAGATGTAAGACCGTAGCTGTAAGACCGTAGGCGTAAGACCGTATCTGTACGACCGAAGATGTAAGGCCGTAGAGATAAGACCGTTGATATAAGACTGTAGATATAAGACCGTAGGTATAAGACCGTGAAGGTACGACCGGTAACCGCCATTACCCCAGACACACGCTCCCGAGCGTTTACACCCCTCTGATACACATTGTACATACACTACAACACAATAAACGTCGACTTACAACACGCCAGTGTCTCACCGCTTTCTCACCCTGACCCCCGGCGAGCGAATTCCGAGCACGGGAAAAGCGGAACGTTACATATAAAATATAGATTTCTTGCTTCCGGGGACTCTGTGACATCAATGTCATATCATTATCTCGTGGGAGTGACAACAGCAAGTACCATTATTCATGAAACATGCAAAGCATTGTGGGATATTTTGTGCCCTTTGGTTCTTCCAGGCCAACTCCATGAAAGAGACTGGCTGGATATCGCCAATGATTACTATGAAAAATGGAATTTCGTTCATTGCATAGGAGCCATTGATGGCAAGCACGTCGTTATTCAAGTGCGTAAATTCATTGTTGGTCAAATATATAAGACAATTTTGAGAGCAGACGCCGGTAATTTAGCGGAGTATAATTTATATATTTATCGTACTTTACAACGATTTACATGACAAACGTTTTGGTTCCGGTATTGAATCCTCTTCAGTGTCAAGAAAAACGCGAAGGAAGAACGTTGCAGAATTAAAGTTTCTTTTATATTTATTGTTGGTATTCAATATATAATTTAACTAGAAGTACAATTTGAAATACTAATTCTCATTTTTAGTGTCCCAATAATGCTGGATCAGCGTTTTTTAATTACAAACACAGTCACAGCATAGTTCTCATGGCTATCTGCGATGCTAATTACCTGATCCGTTTTGTGGATATTGGAGCACATGGACGACGAAGTGATGGTGGCATTTTCAAAGAAAGTGCTATAGGGAAAGCGTTCGAAGAAGGGCGGATGAATATCCCACAGCCAGCAACAATTGGAGAAGGAGGACCTACTTTGCCGTACTGTCTTGTGGGAGACGAGGCCTTTCCTTTAAAACCTTACTTGCTTCGTCCGTACCCTGGTAGAGGTGGACTTACAGTACAACAAAATGTGTACAATTACCGTCTTAGTCGTGCGAGACGAGTAGTAGAAAACGTGTTTGGTATACTAGCCAGTCAATGGAGAATATACAGAAAACCTATTATCGCCAGCCCTGAAAACGCCAAACTGATCGTTCAAGCAACTGTTTGCCTCCACAATTGGCTTCATCGACAGGACAATAATGAGAACGCATATGTGCATCCGTGTTTGATCGATGTGGATAATCCAGACTGTCCAAATGGCTTTCAATCAGGTTCTTGGCGAACCATAATGGAAGACGGATGTGCATTCAGAGACATCTCAAACTGTGGATCAAATATGAGTGCCAGACAATGCATAGACATTAGAAATGAATTTTGTCGTTATTTCAATCCAATTCAACCGAATATATTTTGTTACTCTATCTTTTTTGCAAAAGTATAATCTCTACAAAAATATCTTTACTGCAAAAGTATCTTCTTTACAAAAATAGTGTATCCACAAAAATCTTCTGTACAAAAATATCGTCTCTACAAAAATATCTTCTCTACAAAACTATCTTCTCTACAAAAGTAATGATATCAACAAATTGCGCCAAATAAAACAACGGATATTTATACAAACTAGTTGCTTTAGCATTAGGGTCTGATTAAAAAATGTTATATTTCTTAAAAAATCAAACTAAAGATTTTATTGAAAAAAATAATGGAGTTAATAATAAAACACCGATGAAAAAAATAGCAACTGTTTAGAAATTTAGAAACTCTGTATCTATTCAGGCGAATTAAGGCCTGTGTCTATGACGCTAGTACTTGGTCCAAGTTCTAATTCCGCGAAATATGTAGCCAATCAATGTAGCTGTCCCACAAAAGCTGTAAGTTGATTGGCTACGCAATTC